GTTTGTGTAACATTAGCAACACATTATTAGCTGTTTGATAACATAGTCAAGCAAAAAAACCTCTGGAATGACCTACCTCTTTCTATCAAATTGGAACCTAAATTAACTGTTTTTAAACAAAAGTTTAAGAAATACCTTTTAGATTTAGCATTTAACGGGGTATAGTAGCTGTTCTTGTAGGCTTTTTTAGCTGAGGTGTTTATTTCGTCATCACTTAACCGTAGCGTTAATGTCTGTGGGTTTGTATGGCTATGTCTTTGTCTTTATTTTTGTACAGCACTTTGTTCAATGATCAGTTGTGTAAAAGTGCTTAATAAATAAATAAATTAAATGAAAAAGGCTAATCATATTAATTACCGTTATGTGTCTGACGTTGTAGAGAGCAATACATAAAACGCATTACCATTCTGATACATCGACTCATATAACACAGTCTCATTCCAAGACGTCATATGACTGACGCTTTTGACCATATGTCAACATCCGACGTTCTAGGGTACCCTTTAACGTCAGTTAGATGACGATCCTAGGGCGTCATCTAACTGACGCTTTACCTTTAGCGTCAGTTAGATGACGCGGGTAGGTTTAGGTCTGGGGTAGGGTTAGAATTAGATAGCGTCATCTAACTGACGTTAAAGGGTACCCTAAAACGTCGGATGTTGACGTATGGTCAAAAGCGTCAGTCATATGACGTTTTGGGATGAGACGACCCTGTATAATTGACGTTTTGGGATGAGACGACCCTGTATAATTGACTCTTCCAGTTTTTCTTCTGAATCAGTTTCTGGTCCAAATATGAATACTGAAACCAGTATTTCCACTTGCCATTGTGTATCGATTACGACAGTAATGTTGTCAGAGTGGATCAGGTATTCTGAGCTTGTGTGATTAAGTGGAGGCGGGGCTCACTTGCATATTAATGACAACACATATATTAAATGAAGCAAAGGTTACATTAAAGCTATTTTAAGGCATGAAGATTTTTTTTTTTCACAGGGAAAAACTTTTTCAATTTTGGTGATCAAAGATGAGTTTTAAGTGATACAATTGACAGGGGAACTTTAAAATCATGTGTGACAGTAATTTCTTATTTTGTGTCAGAAGTTATGAAAATGAAAAATGGAGGTGATACCTTTAATATAAAATATGATACATTTAGAAAAAAAATCTTGTACGGTCGTATCTATTCTAGTTTGGGCAATATCTTCGTGGTTTTCAAAGGGGGGAATATTATTAAATATTATTAAACTGTAATAATATTTCACTGTTTATACTGTTAATAGTTTAAAAAAATTAAAACTAATTTGGTGAGCATTTGAGACTTCTTTCATAAAAATAATCTTACCGACCTCAAAATATTTGAACGGTAGTACTTTTACTGGGAGTGTACAGCATCGCTCCATCACAGAATTCACACTTATCTTCCTCCATATCTGGATATATGCCCGGTTATAATGCTCTTGCATCATTTGATGAATTACTGCTGCCATGATCAACAGAAAATCAAAACCCAACATCTCTTTAAAATTACATTCCGTGGGCAGTAATAATTCAACATGAATTGCACAAGGTAAAAAATTTTAAAAGACACGATATATAATAAACCCACTTTACATAGAAAGGAAGCGAATTTGCATTGAAAACAATAACAATGATTGCAGGTTAAACCAAATCGGAGGTGGTTAGCAAATAAGTCCAATTTTCTTCGCTGAAAAACCACATGCAAAAGTGACTCAACTGTAAATGCCCCTTTGAATGTTGTTCTTCATGACCACATACTGTTGGGTCTTATGGTGTAAATTCACTGAAAAAGCAGGAGACAATCGAGGTGAGAATAATAGTGAAAATTTAAACAACAACTGTAATAGTTAAAAGGTGAAAACTGTAAAGTGTTTACATATGGTTTCAGTCATTTGCCTCCTGGGGGTTGTGAGCTGTCTGTCTACCTCTCAACGCTTTATATAACACATTTATCCCTTATGAATGCCAATGAGGCATCTCAAAAACATTCATTATTTAGAGAAGAATACAACTAAAATTAATTTCAGCAATCTTCTTAGACGCTATTCAATCCGAGTGAACTCAGTCAACAGCTGTTTTGTCCTAGACAAGTTCGTAATTGTTTAGGAAAGCTATTTGTAATCTCGTTCAACTTTCAAACACTGTAGTACAGATGGCATTCAACAATAAGAATGAAATCCACACTGAATTTGTGATGAATCTGCATCTCAAGACTCAACAAAGTTTTTTCAAAGCCCTTGGAAACAGATTTAATCATATTTCACCTTCAAATCTCATTTTAAAACACATAAAAGGGTAAATAAAGTGCAATAACACAAAATGAGTACACATGTTTAAAAAGAAACAAACCCTAAAGGGTGTTTGTTTTACACTCAAAACACGTTTTTAATAGTGCGTCAAATTTTATGAGCACAAAACACAGTGAAGAATGAGTATGCATTTTATGGACCTCAATCTCCTCTGATGTTTAGCTTTTCTC